ACTCCCTTTATCTACAAGGTGTTTTTATATGCGGGGTGAGATGGTTCTGTTTTCTTCCTTCTTGGAATGATGACAAAACTGATGGCACCCAACAGAGCACAGATTTGGGGTGGGCTGTGATATTCCAGGGTTTTGCAGTGTTGCTGCTGGAGAAGCAGCCCGTGTTTGATCTCTTGTTTGATCTTGGCTCCTCGGAGACCCGACAGATTTGTAAGTCGTAGCCTTTGGCTGCTGCTTTGATTGCGAGGGCAAAGGGCTGCAACGAGGTTTTGTTCTCAAAAACGGGGAGAAAGGAGCAAGAATGAAAAAGTGCCTGTGTGAGGAGGCAGGGGGAGAAACCAGGGCCGAGTGTAATTCCAGCCAGCAAGGAAGGATAGAACTGCAAACTTGAACAGTAAAAGAAATCAAGAGTAACATTTGCTTAGGACGTGCTGTTGTTGTGGGGATGGGTTGGGGGCCTTCTCCTTTCAGTCTCTGGTAACACGTGGCAGTTTGGACCCAAAATCACCAGGACACAAACCTGGAGGCAGTGGGAGAGCTATGTGGGATTTGCCTTGGGCAAGGGTGAGCGGAGGAATCTCCCTGCTTGGCTTAACTGCCCTTCAGCTGGAAAACCTCATGGAGATGGATGGACTGCTGTGCAAACATGATCTCTGTCTTGGAAAGGTGCTGGGGAGATCTGTCCCTTCAAAATATGGCACCTCAGGATTCCCTGTTCCTTTTCTTTGGCTTCTTTAAATCCCTCAGTGCCAGTGTGGACATGGAGTGGCTACCAGTGGAATTATTCTGGACGAATCTCTTTATTTGTTCCCTCTATTCCTGCACAGGGTTTTTGTCAGTTAATCTCCACTTTCCTATCTTTTTCCTCCAAAGGGAATTGCTTGAATGCAGCAGCTTGAGACAGTTCACCACATAAAACAATCTGTTGTTTTATAGCTGAATTAATCCAGCAGCTGAATTAATCCAGCCTGTATCTCCCCACCAGCATTCCTAAAAGACAAGAGGTGACATGTGCTTTGGATTTCCTTTCTATTCTCAGGCTATATATATATATATTAGTAAGGTTTTTCCAGAATTTGGGAACTTATTTAGGGTAGTTTTGATTTTATTTTTTCTCCCTGCCTGAGTTTTATGTATAATTTTCATGAAACTTTTAAGAACCTAAAAGGCAGGAGCAAACTGATCTCAAATTAAGCTCATGGCAGAGTAAAGGAGCCCAAAATGCTGCAAGTGTCTGAAGGAAGAGTTGCCTTCCCTGGCCACTCAGGTGGAACCACAGCCTTGGGATTTATGGTTGGTTTTGATGATCCTAAAGGTCTTTTAGAACATAAATGATTCTGCATTTCCACACATCCAAGAGTTACAATTTTAAAATAGTCACTATCACTCTAGTGGATTTTGGCAGCCTTGGAGGCACAGGTAAAGTTTAATGCCAGATATTTGTTCTTTTGTGTCTTAATTCCTGCCTTGGAAGTTTTATGTGGTGTTGTCCAGCCTGGAAATCTTGAAGTTTTCTCCTAAAACTTGTGATGCTGCTCTAGGTCCTGAAGGGTCAGGGGCTTCTTCTCACGACTTCAGGGCAATCACATGACAAGACCAGGGGGTGTTTTGGGAGGGAAATCCTGCTGCCAGATTAAAAAAAAAAAAGAAAAAAGTCTTGAAATTGGACCGCTAAAAGCAATTAAAAAGAGAAACCCACTATTTTTTGGTTGCTACAAACCAGTTTTCAGGGGCTTGGTGCAATCAGTCTCCAGGCTCTTTTGGAACTTGCAGTAGTGTGGTTCTGTTGTATTTCAAGCTGTCAAAAATCCTTCAAGGATTTTCCTGTGTCTGCATTTCACTCAATACTGTTTTATTAGGATATTAAACTTTCACTTGTGCTTTGTGTAGTTCCTGATACACTGTTTTTTTTTTTTTTTTTTTTTTTTTTTTTTTTTTTTTTTTTTTTTTTTTTTTTTTTTTTTTTTTTTTTTACTGATAAGTGGCCAATTGCTTTGAGACCAGCACTTAAACTGCCTGTCAAGTGTCTTTGAATTGGTGCTGAGCAGACTGTGAGAGCACACAAATTGAAACATTTCTCATCATGTTCTTGGGGTGGTTTTTTTTTTTTTTTTTTCCCCTCCTAAAAATGATTACACAATTCCAGGAAACTAAATGTAGCCTTTCTCACTGAAACTAACTTGCTTTAAATAGTGGAAAACAAAGAGGAGAGGAAGTAGATGAGGGGAAAAAAAAGTCAAGAGGGGAAAGGAGCACACATAGAAAAGATTGTCCTACCCTGGAATTTCAGAGGACATGCTGACCCTGGTCACTATTATTAACATATCTAAGTTTCAAGCTCTGCAGGCTTAGGACGTGACCTTACTAAGGAGTTCTGGAAGCTTTAATATTTCTCTCTGTGTTTTTTTCCATCAGACCATAAAACTTTGAGTTTTGGGTCTCACCAAAGCTTCCTTTTCATCCAGGAGCTTGTCTGGCAAGCTCAGGGCACACATCCCTGCCTGGGAATTTTGTCCTTCATTGTATCCCAGCTACAACAGAGTTCTGTGGGAACGAAGGAAATCTTGTGTGTGAAAGCTCTTCCTTCCTGACATTTGAAATGGTGATATCTGTTAATACAAATATGAATTGATTATTGCCATGTGAAGCCAAAAACACGAGGTGTAAGGATCTCCTGTTAATCACTTTATTTCTCTTATATTCTAGGAACACCTGAGGGCTTGAGATCCCCTTGTCAGTTGTCAAACGTGCATAGAGAATAAAAAACTTTCCATGCCCGTTCCAGACCTACAGTTTGAGTGTCCCAGCAGGTCACAGCAACTGTGACTCCATCCAAATTGCATCTTGATGCTGTTTGTTCTCGCAGCATGCTGTGTGTGCCAGCATAATGGTCATTGCAAAACACTATAAATAGGCTGGGAAATTCAGGAATCTGCATATCACTGATTGCCAAAGACGTTTGCATCACTTTTCAGCTGTTACGAGACTTGGAACAAAACCAGGGAAACCGTGTCTTGAACGTTTTTAAGAGATTTATTGCAGAAAAGAAATACTGGGAAGGGACTGGGAAAGGTTGTCTTGACTAATCACAGAATGGTTTGGGTGGGAAGGAACCTTAAATACTGTGCACCTCCAACAGGGACACCTTCCACTAGACCAGGTTGCTCCAAGCTCTGTCCAAGCTGGCCTTGAACACTCATCCTGTCTCCATAGCAGAGCTGCTCCAGCCCTCTCATCATCTTTGTGGCCTCGTCTGGACTCGCTCCAGCAGCTCCATGTCCTCCTGGTGGCAGTGCTCCAGAGCTGGAGGTGGCACTGTGGGAGGGGTCTGGCCAGAGTGGAGTTAGAGGGGCACAGTCCCCTCCCTCTCCTGCTGCCCACGCTGTGGGATGAGCCCAGGACACATTTGGCTTTCTGGGCTGCCAGTTCATATTTCTGGGTCATACTGACCTTGTTGTTCAATAGACACCCCCAGTCCTTCTCCTTGGGGCTGTTCCCAATCCATTCTCCCCCTAAGCCTCTGTTTGTGCCTGGGATTGCCCAGATCCAGCTTCAGGTGACCTTGGCCTTGTTGAACTTCATGAGGCTTGTGTGGTTCCACCTCTCCAGCCTGTCCCAGCTCCCTCTGGATGCCATCCCTTCCCTCACCACCCATCTTGGAGTCACCAGCAAACTCGCTGTGACTCCATCAATCCCACTCTCCCTGTCTCCCACAAAGATGTTAAATCCTTTCCCTCCAGGTGTTATCACCTAAGCCCAAATCTTTAGCAAGTGTTGGAGCTGCTGAGAGCTTTCAGCAGGAGGTGTGTTGTAAAAGCATCTCTGGCGGTGTAAATGCAGGAGGTTTGCAAGAAAACAATCCTCCCATTATGTGTTTTCAATAATTCTGTCTCAAATTACCCTTGCTAACCCTTGGTAGGCTTTTAGTATGCACATAGATGTTTTTAATACCTCCAGCATTCAGAAGGATTTCTAATGATTTGTTCAATAATTGATGTGGCTTTGGCATAATTTAGGCTTTTGTGAGAGATGGCAGACAGATGAGTGGAATATATTTAGTTGTTTAGTTTAATCATCCCTGTCTGTGAATTCTTTAGGTGAAAAGCAGTACGAAGGAATGGAGCAAGTGAGAACCTCTTGGAGAAAATTATCCCCTCAGCTGAAAACTGGAGAAAGCCTTAATTAACCTATTAATTCACTGCTTAAGTGTCTGCAAAGTGTTTTCTGAGCAGTAACACTCATTACCTTTCAGAATTATATGCAGTTGTATGGACCTTGTATTTACATCTATATCCCTGTTAGCCAATGGATTTAGTTTCTCAGCTCTTTTCCCTTAATCTTGGTAAGATAGAGCAGAAAACAGGAGTTGTCCTGTTCTGGTCTTGTTTTAAATATTGAAATACTATTTAGTCTTTGATGCTAAATCCATATCTATAACTGGTTTACTTTGACAGGTAGTAAGGAGTAATGTTCCTTTAATGAGGAAAAGACCCATTGCAAGTGCTTGTTCTTTTTGTCACCATTTATATAAAATTGTTAGGCTCTTTCTGATATAACTAGAAATATACTTAATGGTAATGATATCCCTGAAATCCTGGCACTTTTAACTGGATATCAGTTGCGTCGCTCACTTGCTTTAAAAACAAACCAACCAAAACTCCCTAAACCCCAAGTCTGTCCTAGGGTACAAATTGATCTAAAGGTTAGGAACTGAACATAATTTCAGAGGGAGAAGGTGTTTGGAATCTAAACTGTAAAAATGGTAAGTATTGGGTGCTTCTGAACTAGAAACAAACAAGTGCAGCTTGGGCTTTTCCATTAAAAAACAAACCCAAAAAATCCCATTGTGTTTGTTTACCCAGCCTTGTAATAACATGTCACGATACACTGCTCTTCCTGATCGCAGCAAAGGTGTTTATACAGCAAAATGAATTTGATTACAGTATTTTGGTGTGTAATAGACATCTCTTTTTTGTTGTTGTTGTTGTTTTATTCACCAGGCAATCAGCTCGAAAGGTCAGCACAGCATCTCTTTCACCTTGTCCAGGAATCAGACAGTTATAGTGGAATATACTCATGATAAGGACACAGACATGTTCCAGGTAAGACTCTGCAAGATTGTGGTTTTAAAAGCACAGTTCTGGGTATTCTCTGTGATCTGGGGGGTTTCCATGGTCTAACCCACTTGCTTTAATATGGGAGCACTTGGAAATTTTGCTTTATTCTGCTGTTCTCAAACCCCCACCAGCATCTCTTAAATTCCTTACTGACTTACTGCTCTCACTGGGCTCTACCTAGAAATGTGTGCCTGTTTGGATTCATGAATAAGCACAAAAATACACCCACCACCCTCCAGTTAGTCAAGTAGCTGGAGTGAAAAGGAGGTGGGTGGGAGTAGGACATGGGGTGGGAAGGAGGAAGGTGAAATAATGTGGGAGCTGTGCCCTAAAGGAGACAAAGCAGTGATGGAATGATAAACTGGAATGATATACTGTTCCTAAGGGTTGTGCAAATATCTCAGGTGGTGTAGGGGGCTGTGCTGAGTTTCCCTGAGCTACCATCCCTTACCCAACACGTGTTCACTCTCCCCTGTTTGCATTTGGGGTTTTCTGCAGCATTTAACACCTGGTAACCTGAGTTATTTCCTTGTGCAGTGGTTATTTTTATACGTAACAAGAGAGCAGAAATCCTGTACAAATTTAGACTTCAAACTTGGGGAAACCCAAGAACACACACAACCTTTTCCATTCTGGGCTGATCAGATCTGTCTTGTCTGTGACCTCTAATTAGGGCATCTCCCCAGGAATCATTATCCCTTCTCCTCCAGCTTTTCATATTTAGGAGGGTCAGCCCTTGGGTGCTGTTGACAGAAGAGGAAGTAGCTCTGTCGAGTTGTCTTTGCCTCTCGTGGCTCCTGTATTTTGCTCTGTATTAAATTTTCCCGGTGTGACCGGAGCTGTTAGGTCCAAATAGGAATTGTTTAAAACCCAGTCTCGTTCATTTGCTGCAGGATGAAGGATCACACTCAGGGTGATCTGAAGTAGCTTTTTGCTGTGTTTTCTAGTAAAAGAAAAATGTCCCCCATCCTTCTGGGTTACTGTGTGATACTTGTTTATTTCTTGAGTAGCTCCAATGAAGTTTTTTCCTGTGTGTAAATTTTAAAAAGCCATTTTTGAAAGCTGGAATTTTTACACTAAAATAATTAATAAAGAGTTGCACAACAGCCACTTTTCTGGGTGTATTGTGTATAGACAGCTCTTTTCTTGATTGCATAATGCCCTGGTGGTGGTTACAGCTTTTATTGAGGGGGATAAGTCGCAGATATTGATAAAAGGTTAAGGCTTCTATATTGTTAAGATTCCTGTTTTCAGTGCAACCTGTTTCTTCTGTCTTGAGATGTGTAGATGGTCAGGTTGTAACTTCCATGTGCTGTGTCCTGGCTCATGTTTCCACTCCCTGTTTCCTGAGGATTGCACTCCATGCATTGGCCTGGAGAGACTGGTGAGACTGGAAACAGGAATTCTCTGGTAGACCGTGGCAATGACTGACTGCTGAAGTGATGCCAGACAGCAGCTTGGAGAGGTTTCCATTATAAAAACAAGCCATTAGATTTTAATTATTCCCAGTAATCTGATTGTGGGCAGTTGGAGAGAAGTTACTCGAGGAGTGTTTTGTGCAACCCCGTGGGATGTGATGACAAGTTACTTGTCTGTTGATCCACAGGGCGAAGTTTTATTGTTGATCAAGCATCACTTGGACAGACAATCCTTGGAATTCCCTGTTTTCTTTCCAAATGTGTGTTTTCCTGGATAGTGTAGCACACTAAGGATGTGGAGGCTGAAGAGGGAAGGATAATGCCTGGACTGCAGGATTATCCTGAGCATGGAGGCCCCACTTTGATGCTGTTAACGTGTATTATCTTGGGCAAATCACTTGGCTTTTTTCAAATCTCCACTTCTTCCCCCTGTGGAATGGGATGGCTGCACTGCAGGAGTTGCCCAGAGTAACCACAGGAAGGAACATGAGAAGCTTTGGATGGGGGTTGTAACATTTTAGTCAGGGAGATCCAAAATGGGGAAGAGGGATGGCAGAAGGTCAGGTCCCATTTCTAACCTGTGTGGACTGAATCCAGAGGGTTAAAGCTGCTTTCCTGTGAAAATAAGGGAGGTTCAGTTCACAAAAAAAGCTGTCACCCTTTTTTCCTTCATCCACCTTAAACTGTTGTCAGTCCTTTTCTTTGAGGGGAAATGGGAGAAGTGGTGTGTTGGCGACTTGTAGTCTGCAGTTTTACCAGAAACAAACAGGAATATTTTGAAGATTATAAACTCAGAACAGCTTGTTTTATGCTTTCCAATCTTCAAACCAGGAAGAAGCACGAGTAGGTGCTTATCTAAAGTGGATACATGGATTTTTCCATACGTGGAAAATATGGGACACTATGCAAGGGACAGGAAGGAAACTCAGAAGACACTGGAGAGCAGTGTTCAGGCTGTCTAAATACCATTTTTCTTGACATTTTTGCCTAATGAAAGGAAAATGACCATACTTTTGATGGCATGAGAATGGATTGATTATAGCAGGAACCAAGATGTGTAGCTTCTACCCTAAGTAACTTATCCAAGGAGCAGGTACTTTCTATATGAAATGTGGATTTCTTACTGAAGAACAGGATGCATGGTCCAGCTCTCCCTCTCCTCACAACAGTGGAATTCTGCTGGACACCAAGAATGTGCAGCTGTTAAATTATCTGCTACCAGGTTTTCTGCTTCTGCCTTGTCTCAGGAGGGAGCGTTTTTAATAGAACTGCTGTGATTGGCAGTAAACACGAGCAAACTGATTGACTGCCTGGCTCCTACACAGCCTTCAGCAATCACCTGCAGTGGGGACAACAGGCTCTGTCTTTGGCATCACTTGGAAGGTTTGTGGGTTGGTACTGGAAGCAGCTTTGTGAAATAATGTGTAGTGTGACAGTTAAGAAGAAAGAGTCCCAAAATACAGCCTTGAAATGGGTAGAATGAAGGAAAAAAGTCTTCTGTGCTGCAGAAGGAAAATGAGTAATGAAGTGTGTGAAAAGTAGCTCTGAATAATGGAGTTCAGTATGCAGTGACTGTGGTCTGGCTGCAACAGCAGATGAGCTCAAGTTTTTGATGGGTGATTTTGATAACATCAGGTTCTTCATTTATTCCCTCAGGAGTTTCTTGTCAGATGATCTCAAACCCAAATTCTTGATTTGATACAGAGCATGAGGAAATTGCCAGGTTTGGAAGGCCACTTCTTAAAATGTTAAGTTCTGATGTTGAAAAGTAGCACAATACATGACTGATCCTCTAGAAGGCTTTCTCCATAGGAAAAGAAAAAGGAAAGGAAACCAAATATTTGAAATATTCAACGTTGCACAGGCATACTTGTGACACAGATGAGATCAGTAAAGTACTTACTGTATTTATATAACATATCACTTGTCATTTCAGAGTTTTTAAAAACCACATAAAAGCTTTCTTTATAGATTTTAATGGTTACATCCAAACATATTTGTATTTCATGTTACCAATTAGTGTGATGTGAGAAAGACTGGGAGCGAGCACTCTGTGTTTTGTCATCCTTTAAGGAAGAGTGAGGCAGGTTTTTCTCTAATTGCATCTAAAAGCTTTGAGAGAATGATCTATTTCAGAGCCTGCAACAGGCAGAAACTTGTTATGAACAAATTAATTTCATGTTTGTCATTTATTATCCTTCAAGAAACTCCACACAGAGAATAGTCCAAAGTTATTCACAAGGTTCCTGGTGCTGACTCTTAACAGGAATTGCATTGGATGGGAAATGGAAGCCTGTTAGAAATAATACTGTAAAAAGAAGAAGAATATTGCTTTGTGAATTGTAGCTTCAAGTTGTCAAGTTCTATAAATCAGAAATGTCCCGTATTAAACAGTTTCTAAACTCCATCTCTGGGGTGTTCTGGGAGTGAAAAATTGAAATGTACACTTTTGATTAGGCCTTTTTTGAGTGTTTTCTCTGCAGCAAACTCATCACAATTTCTGCTTGGGCTGAGACCTGGGAGGAGGAGAAAATAACTGGATGTGTCACATCAGATGGGAATTTTGACATGTGTTGGGAGTGTAACCCTGCAAAGTAGAACTTGAAGCAGAAGAGAAGTACAGGAGAGATCCCTGTACTGTTTCTGTCAGTTCAGTTGGGCCAAGAGTTAGGTATTAATAATATTACTTTCCTTGGCTCATGCATACCGTTCCTTGGCAGCAAATTTAGTTTGCAGAGATGTTTGTTAATGATGGAACCACACACACCTCTCCATGTTGCTTTGAAGAGCAGGAAATATAACTTCTTGGGGAGATCCTGCGCAGCGAGGAGGCCATTTTATATAAATGTAGATGCCTGATATTGAAGGTAGTTTCATGTGAAGAATATCCCTAATTCTGTTTGATCACAAGGTACCTACAAAATTAATATTCTGTTCCTCTCCTTGTTCCTCAGCTCCTCTTCCCAGTTGTGCTCAAAATTGGTGTAACACTAATTTGCCTGTAGAAACATTGATAAAACCTCACTGTATGTTGGGTTGGCAGTCAAGGTTCCCTCTATCCATGTGTCATGAAGTGTTCCAGATGCCTGGATGTTCCCAGTTTTAGAATTAAATCTCATAGATGGCAAAATAGAAAAATATTTTTGTCCGCTGACCAAGTGTGTTTCATTTCTGCTGGAGAAAGTTTATTAATTCTGTTAATCACGTGATGGGTTTTTGCCTGAAAACTCTTCTTTCTGGGACTGCCAGTTCTGAAAATGTGAAGGTGGGTAGCTTTTTGTTATGGTGTGGCTAAAAAAAGTCCTTTATTTTCATGGCAAATTTAACTTTAAACTGGAAACGTGAATAAAACTTGTCAATCCAAGCCCGTGTTTCCTTAACTGACAGAATATAAGTAGTTTGCTGTGGTTGGATGAGGAATTACAAGGTGCTAATACTTTTTTTTGTTGACGATACTTTTATCAAAGCAATCAGCTCTGATGATTTGTTTCAAGCAAACAGGAACATCAGTTGTGGTAAGTGGAAATTGGCCATTCTGTGTCAGTGAGGTATTTCTGCCTGTGACAAATACAGGTTAGTCTCTGATTGCATCTTACCATCCAAAAAATTGAGTAGACAGTAGTTTACTGATGCCATCAGTATTAACTTGGCAGAACTGTGTCCTCAGTGCTTCACATTTCCATGGGTATTTCTATTTATACTTTTATCTTAATTTTTTTTTTTTTGCAGGTTGGGAGGTCCACAGAGAGCCCCATAGACTTTGTAGTAACAGATACTATTTCTGGAAGTCAAAATAATGATGAAACCCAGATCACCCAGAGCACCATATCCCGCTTTGCCTGCAGGATAGTTTGTGACAGGAGCCCACCTTACACAGCAAGGATCTTTGCAGCTGGCTTTGACTCGTCCAAAAACATATTTCTTGGTGTAAGTACTACTAATAATTGGTACGAGCAAGCTCTGGGTTTTATTCTCTGCTATATTCAAGCCCCAAAACCTCCTTGTACTGGTTGATAACTCAGACTATCGTTAGGCTTTTATTACCCCAAAGTACCAGCTGCAGTGTTAAGTAGGAACTGCAGTTTTCTGTGCCTGAGTTACGAACAGCAGAGACTCGTGGTCGTGATTGTCTCGAGCAGTGGAGCTCCACTTCAGTAACTGCTGGTGGGTTTTCTTCAGGTGTGGTTTTGATGTGTTCTGGTTGCCACACGCAGGAGAAAGCAGCAAAGTGGAAAAATCCCGATGGCCACATGGATGGACTGACAACTAACGGGGTGCTGGTGATGCATCCCAAAGGAGGCTTCACGGAGGAGTCCAAGCCCGGAGTGTGGCGGGAGATCTCGGTCTGTGGGGATGTGTACACGCTCCGGGAGACCAGGTCTGCCCAGCAGAGGGGGAAACTGGTGAGTTGGAAGTGGCTGATGATTGGAACAAAACAAGGGATGCTTGTTTTCCTGGCACTCCATGGAGGCAGCTGTAGGGTGACTGCAGAGTAATGGTGTTGTCCCTGGGTGGTGGGCACTGGGAGCATTTAAATATCCGTGTGTCACAGCAGGTTCTGCACTGCTCTCCTGTTTCTGATGTGCAGGAGAACACTCTAAATTCTGTGCTGAAGCCACTTTCCCAAGTGAAACAGCACAGAGAGTAAAGGCTAAATAAACTCTGCTCTTGAATCTCCATCTCTGCAATGTTCTCCTGGGATCTGGAGCTGTCTGGAAGTTACTGCACGGGGAACTGTCTTTTGCAGTGATGTCTGAAGGGTCCACTTGCATGCAGAAGCTGTTTGGGTAACATGCCTTCTGTTTGATTTACCTGCCACTAAAAAGATAAGAGAAGGCCTGAAAGTATATTCCTGTTTTATTCTGTGAAGCAGGATGGGCTTTACCTTTGCCAGAAGTGAGAGATTTCAGCTGTCAGAGACCTGTGACGTTCATAACCATAAGCATGTGTGCACTTTTCAGTACAAGATGGGAGGGAATTCCCATAGCTTTTGTTCTTTCCTCTTCCCAAGATCTGTAGAGCCTACAAAGGAGAGTGCATTTTATTTTTTCCTTTGGAGGCAGAAGGAAAAAAGCATAGGAAATGACAGCAATCAAACACCACCATATAGACAGGAGGGATATCCTCCTCTTCTTCATGCCAAAGTTACTTCTGTGTTACTACCCTGAGGTGTTGGAGGGATCCCACATGCTCACACTGAACTGCTTTCCAGCTCTGCCCTTGGCTTTTACAGAAAACTGGCTGCTCAGGGAGTTATGGAAATGGAGTTGGACTGTTCTGCTTTCAGCAGACACCCTGCAGGACATAAATTGCTTTGTCACTTTTAGCAGTGGCAGGCGAACGTCGCCCGGGGACTGGGACAGATGATGTGGCAATTGCACCCTTTGTACGTGGTTAGCAGAACACCTTTTTTTTTAGTGCTGCTGAAGAAAGGCACAGCGAAACAAATGAATTCCCTTCCCTGCATCCAGAATGACTCGAATTCTCATTTAAATAAAATTACATGGCACGCTGGTATTGATGTGATCAGTACTCGCTGATTGGGTTCATAAAACCAAACGCGGGCTCGTCTAATGAATTGAACATGTTGCATGTGAGGGAGCTTTTCTTGCTTTGCTGTTTGTGAAGGAATTATCTGAAAAGAGCATCAAATCAAGGCTTCTCTCTCATCTCTACTTGAGCCCACTGAATTTTTCTGCTGGAAGTATTTTGCACCGGTGACCTCTTATCTTGTGGTCTGCATTGTGCCACGGAGGTGTTTAGTGCAATGATGATCCACAGTTAATCTGTGAATTTAAACTGGATTAAAATGTAAATGCCAAATTGGTTGTCATTCATAGTATTCTGAGGCAGACGTGATGATTTCATGTGACCTACTTAATGTATTTGTTTGCATTTGGGTGTTTGTTTTGCATCAGTGGTATTTTCTACATACTTTGTATGTATAACACCAGGCAGTAGGTCTGTTTTCCTCTTTAATTTCATAAAGGACTTTTTTAATGTATATTCATCATTACTGAACTGATAGCAGAAGCACAGATTGCTTATATGTTGGTGACATTAAAATCAGGAATATTTCAGTGAAGTACAATAACAAAATGTGTTTTTGTCATAATCCCTTGAAAATGTTTCAAATACCTGCTTTTTAATCAGACAAGCGAAGCCTTTGGGCAGTGCACACTGGGGCTGTATTTGCATGGAATACCTGAACTGTCCTGGATAGCAGTTTTTAGTCCAAAAAGGATTTTTTTACTCAGTGAGCAGCCTCTGTGGGCAAAGAATTCCAGGAGAGAACCTGCTAATGCAGCCCTTAGGGAATGGCAAGTCTCCTCTTCAGTCTGTCATGACTTACTGAACTGTGACAAAGGCACACAGAGAATCAATAATAGAGAGGGAAAGTGCGTGCTCAGGGATGGTGGGGGGATATCCTTTCCCAAGGAGTTGCAGGCAGGAAGACTCTGTATGATAATTAGTGTTGCAGTTGGAGATGCTGAACCTCCTGTACAAGCACAGAATAAGAAACCAACGCTTATTAAGACAAGAGGGCACAGTCTTAAGCTGTGCCAGGGAAAGTTTAGATTAGACATCAGGAAGACATTTCTTAGAGAGAGGGAGGGGTCTCTCTAGAGATTGGAATGGGCTGCCCAAGGAGGTGTTTTAGAAGAGACTGGCTGTGGCATCAGTGCCGTGGTCTGGGTGAGAAGGTGGTGTTTAGATCATGGGTTGGACTTGATGATCTCAAAGGTCTTTTCCAACCTAGTTGATTCTGTGGTTCTGTTCTTATAGTCTTAAATATAGAGTAAGGTCTGAGGTGGATTCAGGCAGAGAGGGGGCCACGAGGCAACAATAAGACAAAACGAAGTAACTTGGTGACGCTTTGGCGAGCAAGACGCGTTTGCAGAACTAGCTTTAGGCTGAACTTCACCTCCCTTTGTGTCCCACCACCAGGTAGAAAACGAGACCAACATCCTCCAGGACGGCTCCCTGATCGACCTGTGCGGGGCCACCCTGCTGTGGCGGACGGCGGACGGACTGCTGCACACCCCGACGCAGAAACACATCGAGGCCCTGCGGCAGGAGATCAACGCCGCCAGGCCCCAGTGCCCCGTGGGCTTGAACACTCTGGCCTTTCCCAGCATCAACAGGAAGGATGTGGTGGAGGAGAAGCAGCCCTGGGCCTACCTCAGCTGCGGCCACGTGCACGGCTACCACAACTGGGGCCACCGCAGCGACACGGAAGCCAACGAGCGGGAGTGCCCCATGTGCAGAACCGTTGGCCCCTACGTGCCGCTCTGGCTGGGCTGCGAGGCCGGTTTTTACGTGGATGCGGGGCCCCCCACCCACGCCTTCACCCCCTGCGGACACGTGTGCTCCGAGAAATCCGCCAAGTACTGGTCCCAGATCCCGCTGCCTCACGGGACTCACGCGTTCCACGCCGCCTGCCCGTTCTGCGCCACGCAGCTCTCCGGGGAGCACAACTGCGTCAAGCTCATCTTTCAGGGCCCCATCGACTGATGCCGCCGGGCAGTGACCCCCCCAATAAAAGTTTCCTTTAATGATTTACTGTGAAGATTTTTGGCCACTAACTTCTAGATTTTACCCCCTTTTTTTTATGATGTTATTGATAGGGGGGGTGGTTTCGGGGCGGGACCGGGAGGGACTGGGGTGGAATTGGGATACATTGATACCTGGAACTCAGCAGATATCAGTGGTTGTCGCATGCTCAAAAGCAGCATATTCATGAAGTCTTCTCGGTCAAATTGTAGTATATTTGTAATCTTTTTATTAGTACCCTGGATCAGAAAAAAAAGGTGTCTTAAATGATTTTTTTAAGCGAAGATTTTTTAATGGAAAGGTTTTCTCTTCTAAACTTTGACAAGCCTTTAAAACCTATTTTTCAAATCTAGAAGGAACATACAGAATGTAACTTGTCTTTAATTTGCAATATAATTTAACTTGAATAGTTTCTCAAGGAGCTAATACAGAATGTGTGGACAACCAGAGGTGAATGTTCACTAGAGATAATTGGGTATGTAAGAGGAAAAATTAGCTGCCTAAAGTGTAGAGGATAAAAGCTATTAAAATATCTATTATGGTATAACACAGCTGGCCAAAAAGGCATCAAAGATTACTTGAAACTGAGGAAATCCTGTTTGTATTGATTTCCTTTCAGTGTAATAGATCTCCACTGGCCATTAGGTGTGGGAGATGGC